TGTACGCTGGAATGCTTTGCGATTTCCCCTCCCCTACCACCAGTCGCTGTGAAGTGAAACTAAAATCCTTCTCAGGATGTCCACATCTTCTAAATATTTTCTAGCCAAGTGTCTATGCATGCCCCGCCATTGCGCCAAAACCGAGCGTAAAGTCATGGGCGTAATGTGGGCCACGGGTGATTGGTTCACTGCCAAGAGGAGCTGGCAAATCTCAAGAACTGTGCTGTTCACGATTCCAACTACAGTCGGTTAGTCAATGATTCCGTTCAATTGCTGCTCCATTGTACGAATTGCTCGGCCGGGTTTACGATCCACTGATAGTTGGGCCTGGATCTGGACACTAACATCCGTCTTATTTACCACTTATTTAATCCCATCGTGTATCCGCCATCTCGCAGGGGCTTTTGCACCTCAAGTTGTGCTGTTTTTCAGTCGACTCCCTCTATGTACAATGCCCTCATTCTCCTAAGCATCGTTGAATCTATACTAGCGTACACTGCTTTTGGATGCGCTGGGTATTAGTTTCTGACAGTGTTTTTTCATTTCCCACCACTGTGTGCGTCATGCAGTGAAGGCAATATGGTGCAGCCAATGTAGACTCTAGCGCATGCTAAACTCAACTTAATTACAACACACGTATCACCTGCGTAACACCAGAAACATCGTGGTGGACACTCTGGTCCGTTTGAAACTTTCTGCCCAAAGTCGTCCATGTGCATATTGGCTGAAATAGGGGATATTGGTGAGCCCATCGTTAAACCGTGTTCTTGAGAGTATGTATTTGAGTCGGAAACAAACTGACTTAGGTTTAGGCGTACCATTGTGCCTACAAATATTTCGTCTACCGAGGGTGGCGGATGTTCCTGAACCCTTGTGTCTGCCAGTCCTTTAGAATCCGCCTGATGCATATTGCTCATCGAGGAAGCTGCCGGAGAAACTGGTTGTATTTGGGAACAGCACAGTTCTTGATCTTTGTTGGCTTGCGTTCCAAAAGCTCGCAACTATCAGTGAAGGCAG